TGCACCATGATCTGCAAAGCAGGCTCATGAGCTAAGGAGGAGAGTGTTGGATACAGTCTGCAAAACAGCACTGTTCCGTCCTGGTTATAATACACGTCTCAAAGCTCACGAAGCGACACCTCAGAATTGTGAGAGGCATCGAAGTCTGTTCGCAGTTGTAGTAGTAGTAGTAGTAGTAGTAGTAGTAGTAGTAAGAAGAAGAAGAAGAAGCAGCAGCAGCAGCAGCAGGAGTAGCATAACACTGGCACCTCTATGCTCTATACCCAGTCTGAATCACATCCGGAGGGCTGCCCCAGCTCCGTCGTAGTATAGGCGGCCACGTAGCCGGAGATCACGAAGAAGGCGCCGACAACCACGTTGATCTTTTAGGTGCAGCTGAAGAAGGCTAACCCAGGGATGAGAGATTCCAAAATCTCGAAACCCTACTACATCAACTACATACAAGCTTGGAAGGGGAGCCCTGCGCCCAAACCAAGAGTGGCCCGATTTAGGGTAAAGGCTTGAATGCCACACGAGAGCAACGATGCTGAACAAGGGAGGACACTGTAGCAACAAGAGTAGCAGAAGCAAGACAACCTGGCTTCGGGCAGTACAGCTTGCAGCTTTTGGACTTAGGAACACAACCCTACACAAGGCACGATGCATTCCAGAACGCAAGACCTTGAACTCTGAGTTCTGCACAAACTCCAAGCCTTGAACCCAAAGCCATTTAGGTCCCAAAACCGGAAGCTTCAATCAGAAAGCGGCGACTCTCTAACGAAGCGCCTAGGGTTTCGAGCGCAGCACCCAAATCAAAAGCATAGAAGGTTTGGGTTGCCAAGATGTGTAGAGGATTGGTTCTTGTAGATTCCTGAAACTAGTTACCAACACAACTGTCTTCTACTAGTACTACTACTACTACTACTACTACTACTACTACTACTACTACCACCACTGCTACTGCTACTGCTACTGCTACTGCTACTGCTACTGCTACTGCGATAGCCATACCATCGAAAATGGCAATCGCATGGGTGTGACAGTAGTTTTATACCTACAGGTCCAAAATGC